CCCGTCTAAAGACAATCAGTGGAGGGGATGAGAAAACCCTGTTGGTATCAGGGTCAGCAAGAAGTATGCCAAGATTTTTTAGGAATATTTTTTTTGCAGTTAAATTGTGAGGGTGGTAGGTAACTATAAGTTTGGTACGATCTTCATTGTTGCTTGGGCGAGTTTTGAAAGCCCCTTTTCGTGTGATTGTGCTGATGCGATTTAGTGCTGCGACCAAATTAAAACTATATTAAAACATTTCTAAACTTTGTTTGCCCCCCCCCCCCCTGGAAGGTTAATTGATTTTTTTTGCCCCTACCCTCTAGAAAGTTTTCTGCGGGCGGCCATGCCCCTACAGCTATTTTTTTCTGCTACTCTCCACCCTTGATTATAATTCTAATCATGTTTTAACATTTTTTAGCCAAAACAAAGTGAAATAATTAACCGAGCTGTAGGTTCATTCTCGAGAACAAACATAAAAACTAACACGTATCATTCAATCTTGACTGGCCCTTTACTGGAATTGAACTCCAAACCACCAACTTCAGGTTTGCTCAGTTTAAACCATTCGACCACCTAGTCATCTTGTTTACGAGGTACCTTTATCGAAAGATACTGTAATACAGGAAATATATAGACCTCACGTGACTTGCCGACTGCGTATAACTCTTAGGGTTATACGCAGTCGGCTGCGTATAACCACTTCGAAAAAAAATTATCAAATAAATAAAGAGCTAAATTTTAAAATCATTTGACATTTGAAAAAGAGAACTATGGCCAGTAGATGACCTGGGGAACCTGGCACTCACTCAGACAAACTGCATTTTGTTTTTTTTAGGCTAGGCCTTTGTGAAAAAAGGGCTGTCTTCTTCACTTCTTGGCACCAAATATATTTTTTTAAAGGTGTACATCTCATGAGGGTTAAGATGCACCTAGGACTACTTTTAATATAAATAATAATATTAAAGTCAAAGTTGCTAACTAACTTGTACTTGTAATTAAGACTAAGTTAACTAACCTAAGCCTAAGTTTTCCTCTCACTCTCATTCATTAGGCATTTCGATAAACGCTTGCGCATTCAGTTTGCGCATATGGAAAAAAGACGCAAAAACTGAAGCGGCCATCTTACAATCGCATCTACGGTAACCTCGGATTTATGCGTTTTACGTCACAGTTTCCTATTTGTACATTTATTTTGTCATCAATTACGATAAATATTTTTCTTCCGGTGACGCACATATCTTTAGACCAACTTGCTTTATCTCTGTTCTTTTTTTGTGTCACTTTGACGGTACGGTAAGCTATAAAAATGTATAAATACTCCGTTTCAGCAATTGCACAACATTGAAACCTAAAGAATCGAGTTAAGCATCCAAATGGGATTGGGAATAACTTTGAAATAGTCCAAATTCTATTTTCAAGGTTAATAATAAACCTTTTTTATTTTCATCACGCTCTCATCACCGGAGGGAAAAAATAAATTTCTCCATATTTTGTATCTTCACCGGAAATGAAATTCGCTCTCGGTATCAGTCAAAAGAGAGTTTTAATATTCCATAATCTTTTAATATCTGAATAAATCTAAGTAAATTGTCATTTTAGAATACAGAAATCGAAAATATAAATAAAATCTAATATAAGTTTGCTTCCACCAACTATTTCTAGACCTACAACTACAATTTAACTATAATTTATAAGTCTATTCTTCTAAGCTTAGCCACTAACACTAAGCCTAAGTTTTCAGAGCGGTGCCGGTACCATTTATCATTTACTAATCTATACTATAATAATAATAATTATAACTATAAACTATTAATATTAAGCCCCAAAGTTTAATCATAATACACATTTTCTAATACTACATAAGGCCTAATTTACATATTCAAATTGTTATCATATTGATAATTTCCAAATTTGGTAAAGTAAAGAGCAATTAAAATAGTTTTAGTAATAGTAATAATAATTAAATATTAATAGTATAGTATATGAAAGATTTATTAAAATACATCAAATTAATAAACAATACTCAAACAACATCATCGTAGTAATTATATTTTTATTAGGACATAGAAAAGCAGTACACAGACAATTATTTGATATATCAAATAACATTTTTTAATTATAGTCATCATCATGGATGATTTTTATTTATAATTATGTCTATGTATTCAATTAAAATATAAAAAAGATTTACTTACCTTTTAATAAATATAATAATTGATTTAAGATTTAACACAAGCATAATAAAATTAGGTAAAATTCAATAAAAATGTTTGTCTTTTTCGTTTTTACCTGTATAAATAATGATTTTCCCAATTTTTCTGTTCACTTTTTTCTGAATATACCCTTGAATAAATTTTTTAAAAAAAAAAGTCTTGATGTTATATAAAAGTTTTGTTGTTTATTGCGTTGTATATCGCATTGAGAATGTCTCCTGAAAATTTGGTAGCATTATCTTTTAAAATCAAAAAGTTTTGGGCAAAAGAAGGCAGAAATTTGTAAAGTGGGTCACACGTTTTTTCAGTTAAATACTAAGATAAAGAAGGGGGTTTTAAAAAATCACAAAAAAAATCATAACTCAACTTCTATAAAAGATAGAAAGATGAAATTGATGTTGTTGTAAAGCTTATAGCTAGCCCTTTAAAATGATGTATCATTCATGTCAATTGGACAATATTTAAATTTTGTGTCAAAGTACCTACATTCATTTCATCAGCAAATAAAAGCTTCTCATGTACAATAATATTATTATTATTACCTTATCATCTTTGTCAAGAGTCGGGACGCCACTTCCATCAAATTCTGGAAAGGGATTTTTAAAGGCTCGCCCTCCGTCCATAACCTCCTGTTTTTTTGATTTTGAGTTTCCCGTCTTTGGTTGTTTGGGGCTCCCCCATTTATCTTTCAGTGTCTGAAGTAAAAATTTACAGGCTACACTTTTTACCGAAATCACAATCAATCTTATATATTTCTGAGATATGAATTTATAATCACTTTTCATGGAATAAGCATTTACTCAAATTTACTAACTTATAATTTAATATAATATTATTAAAATAAGAGTTTCTTTTTTAAAAATACGGGGTGAAAGTGCCCTTCATTAATGGACAAAGAAGTAATATCTTCATGTTTATTATGTAAACTGTATCAATTTTGTTTTCAAATGAGCTCTTAAAATTTTTTAACGTAAAATAATAATATTATTATTAGCAAACATAGCAGATTTTCCCAAACTTGTTTTGTGGTCCGGTTATTTCCATTATAATAATGCTTTTTCTTTGTATGCTACAAGGCACCCACACTCTGGTCATGGATTTGAATCTCAATACTGTTTACTGTTTTCATATATTATAATAAAGAATACTTTTCTTCTTACAAAAAGTGTAGATAAATTAAATTAAATCTCATTAAATAGAGGTTCTTCTTGTTAAATAAAAAACTTAGGTAATAATAAGAAAAATAATAATTTTAGTATTAGATCTTGTTTCACATTCAGTCAGTTTGTATATATATTATTATATTTATATATTTTTAAAATCAGTCCTGAAAGCCATCCTTGCAGTGCCCGACAGCGACATTAGTAAGGCATTAAACATTAGAAATTGTATTACCTTTTCTATTAAAACACTAATAAGACAAAAGTGCACCCAAAAATACATCAGAATTATTATTTCTCACACTCACAAGTTGTTGAGTACTGTACCATAAGAAAGTATCAAATCAAATTATAGTATAGGACCTATACTCAATCCATATACTCTTTCTATCAATGGATGAGATTTCATACAGTTTATAAATTGTAAACACTTTTGAATTTGGCATTTTGGAAAGTTGCAGTTAAAAACGCTTTGTTTTGTCCTCTCCCAGAGCATAAAGACTTTTATCCCTGTATGACGGGACGACAGATAGACCTATGTAGGCCTATGCCTATATAACTATATATATAAATACATTATTACACACCAGGAATAAGCATTTTTTAAAATTTGATTGCAATTTTCAAAATAATAACAATAAATAATATATTATATAAGAGTAAGAGGGGAAAATAATAAACTGTACGTAAATGTAAATATTATACTTCTGTCCCTTTAGCGGCTTATTTTGTTATTAATAGATTCATAGTATAGACGACATAGACCATAGATCTTGCTGAAGCTGAGACTACTGAGACTGAGAGCATTAATAAATAAAGAACAGAGAATTAGCCTGATAAAAAAACTGATCGTTTTTATGTCGTACAGGGGGAATATATGTAGGCTATTATAATTTTGACATAATTTTGAACCATTTGAATATAAATTTGTCTAAAATGACCCCTTTTTAATGTATCTCGGAACTTCCGAGAAGCAAAAGGGTGAGCCACTGAACACTGCTGACCTGAAATTGAGATTTTTTTGGTATTTTTTAAAAAATCTGTTAGACCTATACTATATAAAAATTGTACATGGAAAAAAGGGCTAATTTGAGGAAAATACAAATAGAAAGTGAAGTAAGAAATGATTACCAATTATATTAAAATAGAACGAAAAATTATCCCTATTATATAAATTATAATAAATTGCAAAAGTAAAGCCTTCTTTAGTAAGTTCTGATTCTTAGCCTTAGTCTTAGTCTTAGTCTTAGTGTCTTAGTCTTAGCCTTAGACAGGGCCAGACTAATTAATTTTGTCTGTTTTGTAATCATTTTTATTTATTACATTTTTATATTTATGAAATGTCGCCTCGCGAACTTCACAAATCACACTTAAAATACTAAAAATTACTATAAAAAATACAATTGTCCTGTCGTCTATTGCTTTACTTTATTTTCATTCAACTAGCCGTCACATCTGGCTGGTCTTCTTACTATTTTAATTTTATTCACATTCACATGGTTTGATTTTTGAACGCAGTACTCTCAATTAAATTTAAAATGAATAGCCTAAATTTAAATCATCTTTCTCAGCTCACCCAGCCTCTGTTGTCAAATAAGCCTACACATGAATGACATTATGTCACATGTTACACTATCTTATATTACTATCTTAATCTTATATCTACTAATGTTATATCTACTATGTTTTTAATTTTGTGATTGTCAGAGATAACTTTGACTTGCTATGCTAGATTTAGTAGAAGTCTATAAGTGGGCGAAGTTGTTTCCTTAATGTGGAATTTAATGAACAAATGACAATTCAATAGAGAAACGAGAAAGTCATTAATATTAGGGCTAGGGCCTACTAATTAATAGTAAAAAGTAGGGCCCGTTAGTAGTAGTTGGCATGACCACAGAAATTATTATAAAGCATAAGATTTTAATTAAAATCATGCCCCATCAATCATTAATGGACAAATGACAATAAACTTTTCTCCATGCTCATCAGTACAGAGATGTAAATGATCATATGTCCTAGAGTTTCATAGGTTAGTTAATGATCAAGAAGTTGACAATAAAACCCAATTTGAATCAGGTGCTATATTCTATATATTTGCAAAAGTTATGACAAAATATGTTTTTTTGAGAGACTCTCACAATTGGCAACCTGTTGAAAATAAATATTTTATTCATCAGTATAGGGTATTTAATTTTTTCCATTTTTAGATGAATATGCAAACTATTATACAGTCCGAACTTGGGCATCTAAAGAAGACAGCTGTAAGTCATTTTGAAAAACATTGCAGATCTCAAAATTATGTTCTGGGCTTTTAATATATATTATATTTTAGGCCTAATTGTACTCACTCAATCTTTCTGGCGGTCTCTAAAATCCTTATCTCCATGCCCATATGATTAAAATATTAAACAACTTTTTTAGCATTGAGGTAAACTTTTTACAACCCAGACCTCAATATCTTAATGCTGAAAATTTTTACTTTTTTGTTTATGAATTTTCAGCAAATTAACAGTTTATTTTGGGTCTCATGCATTGCCATCCAATGTCCTTATCTAGAAACACACCAGAAACAATACTGGCGGGTTTTAAGTGTTACACTAGTTGAAGAAAGTGTATTGTAATGCATTGGGATTGAGCATCAGCTTTCATTCTTTAAGGCACAACTTTATTTCCCTTCAACAGAACAGACGCCACCCACTTCAGTATAAGTTATCAAGACTTAACTGTATCTACCTATTACATTAAACAGAAACTTTATTAGTCATTTAATTTTGGTGTATAAAAATAATATATAAAATAATGTTTCACAGAAAGTATATCACAAGCAACAAAATGCCAATATCTTTTTCCTATCTTCTGTGAATGAACAAATGTTAGATTCACAACGTGAGTGAACTATTTTATTAAATTTTTATTATTATTTAAATCAATATAATGGTTTCATAAATTGTTTTGTTGAAATACTCATTAACTTTTATTTTGAAGTGCTTGTATTATTTCAGATTATATTTTAGTTTCTTATATTTGTATTTTTTTTTTAAATTGTATTTTTAAAAAAAGAACTTGTGATTTTCAAATTTTTTTTTTATGAACAGGCACACTGGACAAGTTGAAAGCAGAGCTCAAAAGAATGGAGTACAAAAATTGATAGTAGCCCTTTAAAATTAATTCATCTGCATTTGTCATCACTCTTAACTTAAAAAACATACATGACAGTTGATTGCATCAATCAATAAAATAAAATGGATATTCATCACTGAATATTGGAGAAAGGAGTCTTTTCTTCAACCCAAAAAATCTTGTTCCATTATTTATTTACTTTACATTTCATGAACGCAGTCTGTCATATATGAACACATTCATGAATATTTGTTATGTTTGATTTGTTTGTCCATGGTTTTCAACATGTCTCAGACACAATTTCATTACCAGTAGGTTCCACTTATCTTGGAGAGCTGTTAACTGCACACATTTTGATCATCAAAACCAAATTTTGACAATCCTTAACTTACTGATTCTGAAATAAGTAGTTTAATAAAAAAAAAATACATCTATGTCAATTGCAAAATATTTAAGCCAAGGGAGCAACATTATTATATTTTTTGTTCAATTATTATTATTTATATACCGGTACCATGCCATTTAAAGAAAAGACCATGCATTGAAAGGTAAAGAAAATTATAAAAGGTTTTGCTTCTAAAATCGTTTTTTTTTTTTTTAAATATATTTGGATTTTCCATGGATGAATTATGAATTATAGCTTTTTTTTTATAAGACTTGGTATATTTCCAGAAACTAATCCACCATAACAAAGAGTTACATCTATGTCAAGGTGATTAAACTCATAAAACTTATTGGTCTCACTAGGTATTCTATTTTAAAACATACCAATTACAAGTTGTTTTAATTTTTATGAATGTGAATGCATTGTTGCTGGTCTCTTTTCTTTTTGATAAGAAAGTAAGTATGAAGATCTTATTTAGGTTGATAGATATTATGCTTAAAAATGAATCATTTGATCAGTTTAATGTTAAAAGACCTAAATCATTGATGCTAGTACTTGTGTTCCAAAAAATAGGGTCCATTCAAACAAATTAAGATTAAAAAAACATGCTAATATTTAAAATGTTTTTTTCCCTTCATTATTAAATGTTAAAGGAAAAATCTAGTCAGACTGATTTATATTTTATTTTTCAGTACACTGACTAAATATTGATAGTATTTTATTGTTTTTGCATACCGGTATTAAAATTAATTATGTTTATTTTAAATGATTCAAGATTTTATAAATCATAATAAAAGTCTAAGAACACTAAGATTTATATTTGATACTCCCTCTTTATTACTTGACTGTAAGTAAGCTAATACACATTAATAAACAATCTATATGACATAAGTTTAAGAAACATACAGAACACAAATTTAAAAAATGAGATTAGGTTTTCCTTTAAATTAACAATGGTCCTCTTGAATGTAACAGACAATAATGATTTTGATTTTGTTAAATGCTTTTGTGATTCTATCTTCTAATTAATTCAACTATTTATTCATTTCTAAAATCAAATAATTCTACAGACATCAAATCTAAGAAAATGACATTTTATGCAGATTGAAAACTTATGTGCCATTAATTCTGTTCTAAATATAGATTTCTACATACAATACTCAAAAGGGAATTATTAAGAAAGGACATTACTATTTTTTAACAGAATTGATTTTTAAGTCCTTCATTTTTAAATACTTCTCAGCTAGATGGAAAATAATATTTTAGAATAAGAATGCATCACTTCCCATATAACAGGCCCTGGCCACCAGAGAGCTGCCTCAATACCTTTTGTTCAAGGAAGAACAAAACATTTTCAAGAAAATTCTTACATAAAAAAAAAAAATCAAACCTTTCAAGACAAATATGTATCAATTCAGTGGTTCATAAAACAATGAAACAAACTATTTAATCCATACCAAAGAACATTACATTAATACATTAAAATAAAATACTTGTTTCAACCTGTTTTATTTTTATATATAGGGGGTGGGGGGGGGGGGGGGGGGTGTTTTTTAATAAAATTATTTTTTTATTGTAAAATAATAAGCAAAGTGAGATTATTTTATAAAATTGATTATAAAACAAACCTTTCTTAATAAACCTGTTTTATTTTTATATATAGGGGGTGGGGGGGGGGGGTGGTGGTGTTTTTTAATAAAATTATTTTTTTAATGTAAAATAATAAGCAAAGTGAGATTATTTTATAAAATTGATTATAAAACAAACCTTTCTTAATCTAGGTCATATAAAATCATAACCTTGTTGAAATGACAAAGTAAAAGAATGATATTCAAATTGACTGAATTACAAAAATGATTGGTGTTTCATTGACAACAAAAATTGTAATAAGAGATCCCTTTTAATATCAAATAAGCTCCATTGATCTGTGAACGAGTAGTTTTTTCTATTAAATCGAAGCAGAGTTAGTCTCTGAGTTGTTGGTTTCTGGCATGATGTAGGAAATGTCGTCCCATGGGTGACGGTACAAACCCTGCTTCAAACGTTTTTGATCCAAGAAGTGACCTAAGAGAGAAATATATTAATTTTGAGAATGTTTTTTTTTTTTTAAATGTGAAAATTAAGATATTTTGCTAAGTGACTAAGTGCTCACATGCATCAAGTTAAAATTTTTTTTTAAATTAACCAACTTAGAGCAATTATTTTATTATGGTCATGTTAAGCTATGAATGGAGATATATTTTCATGCTTTAAAAAAATAAAATAATTATATAGTTGCCATGGCAACGGCAGCCATCTTGAAAATAATACCCATTCGTAGAGTTCTAAAATTTTAAAAACAAACATACATATTGCTTAAAAAATGATTGATTCATGAACTTCAATTGTCTTTAGAGGTACTGAGCTAGTTTAATTTCCTTCAAAATTTTCAAAACATTTTTTTTTTTAAATTTTTAAATTTGCCTCGGCAGAAAACGCTTAAAATTTACCATCTTAGGATATGAACAAAATTATTTTAACAAAAGTAATTGACCAAATTGATTTTTGAATAGCTCATTGCCCACAAAATAGTTAAAGGAAGATACACACCAAATTTTATTACTCTAGCTTGTATATTAGCTGAGATTTTAGAATTCTACGTTACAAAACAACAGAAAAAAACAATTTTGAGAAAAATCAATTTTAAACTTTAAAAGTGAAAAATTTTAAGTTTAATATGAAAATGAAGTTCTTTTACATAGTTTTTTTTGTTCAGCAACATGGACATGGT